TATATATATATATATATATATTGTAGAGATCATGATATCAATTTCATCTTTCACCTTTCCCTTTTCTTGATGTGCGTTATAAAAAAAAGTTACCAAGTTACCATTTAAAAGTTGAAATTTCAAGCATTTTTTGTATTATATAAAAGAAAAAATTAAATTAAATAGAATAAAATAGAGCTAGTCAATTAAAGAGAACAAAAAGAAAAATAGAACAAGTCAATGACACTTTCATTTACATATCGGAGTTTCACAAAATAGGAGAATAGAATGGGAACAATACTACAATATTATATATGAGCAATGAACAGTAGTATAATATTATTAGTAGAGAAAAAAAATGGAGAAGACAAAAGCATAGAAAAAAAAGATAAAAAATTCACTTGAAAATTCTTGAAGCACTTGAAAAGTCACTTCAAATAATCCTCCAAAATTTGATGGGTTTGGATGAGATTGTTTTATGAATTTGGTATTTATAGATAGTACTAGAAAGTCCTTCAAAATCCTTCTAACATAACAATCCTTTAAAATCCTTATATTTTTTAATACTAATAGATTGATTTTAAGTTGTAAAAAATCTCAAATGAATACTAATAGATTTTAATGGACTCTTTAAAAAATCTTGAAAATCCAGATTGAATACCACTGAATTGTTTTTAAGTGACATAAAATCCTGATTGAATACCAACATACTTTTTTACTCAAAAAGAGTTTTTTAAAATCCAATGAAATCCTAAACCAATACATCGCTTTAGTATTAAAAAGGTTTACAACAATTCACACACCTTATTCAACCAAATGACCTAAGCCCCAAATTTTTCTCAAGCATAATGTATGATAAAATTGTATAATTTTATAACAGAAGTGTAGGAAACTGTTTTTGACTTAATCATTATTTTCAAATGTGATTTGTGATAACACAATTGCATTAAAACTTCACAGAGAGTTTTCAAACCCCAAAAACAAAAGATTAACATTATTTTATATGAGAAGAAAGTACAATGTATAATAATAAAATTATATAATTATAATATGATATTTCTCTGCTATTCATTTCGTAACAAATCCCGAGTATTTTATGGAAATGAAACTAAGAACTAAACCTGGGCCTAAATTAATAATACTAATACTCAGAATAATGATATATACACTTTTTTTGATATATACACTTTTTTTTTTTATAAGTACACCTCTTTTATTTTTTTTTTAAATCTTAAAATATTTATAATTTTTTTTATCTTAAAAATTTTTAATTTTACATTTCTTACTTTTAATTTACTATTTTTTATTTTCATACACCTCATTCTTTCTCTTTTTCAATTTTCACATGCAATATCTTGTCTTTCTCTAATTTTTCACCTATTTTAGTCGGTAGTTTAGTTCTCTCAATTTTTATATTACTCTCTTATTTTCTCACCTTTTTCACTTTTTTCACATGCACCCAAATCATAGAACTGGTTGGCGACAACATTATAGATATGTGTAGCTTCCTCGATAGTTTTTATTAAACTAGACACACATTTTTTCTTCCAGCACTTCCTTTCCTTTCATCCTCCAAAAACCTTAATATTAAGTTTAGTGTTATGAAAAATATATTTTCATTATTCTAGAGTACTATGCGGATAGTGAAATCAATGAGAAAATTGAAAGAGAAAAGGAAAAATAATAGTGTAAAACTAAAATAATTAAAATTACTTACCAAAATAGGTGGGGTGAAGAAAACTTAAAAGGGTACATATGAAATAAGGAAAAGAGGTATGTAAAAAAAAGTGTTAAATTAAATATAAAATTAAAAAATTAAAAATAATAAAAATTAAAAATATTTTAAAATTTTAATTAATTTTTTTAAAAAAAGGAGATGTACTTATAAAAAAAAAAAAAAAAAAAAAGTTGTATATATCATGATCCATCTGCAAATTTAGGTGGCCTTTAAATGTTGCGTTTCGGCCTTGTTAATAATCCACGCAACTGAAGTGGGCTATTAGACCCACTATCAGGTCCACTAACCAAAACATAAATGATACCTCTCATTTTTCTTCTTCTTTTGGTATACACTTTTTTTGAAGTACAATTTATTTTTAATAATTGTATTTTTAAATATTAGAATTTACTTTGGAATTTGTAATATAATTTTAATATTTTATTTTTAATGTTAATTTTACATTTCAATTCATTAATTTTGATTTATTGTACAACAATTTATTTCTTTAATGTATCACAAGCAGTAATTTTTTCTCCAAAGACAAAGATAATATATTAAAAGTAAAATTTAAGTGTTCAATTAAATGATACGTTTTTATCTACCAAAAAATGTATATATATTTTTTAAATACATACAGTGTTAAAAGTAAATTAGTATATTAAATGTCAGAACAATATTAAAATAATTAAATTTATTGTTCATTATATATTAAAATTAAAAAATATATATATAATTACTTTTTTTTATATAAAATAATAAATATATTACTTAATTAATTTATGTTTATAAAAATAATTTAATTATCTTAATTTAATAATTCTTTGTTATCTTAATTAACATTATTTTTTAGTCATTTAAGCACTAAATCAACTAGATACTACAAAAATATGTGTAATTTGTAGAAGATATTTTAATATTCTTTGGTGATTAAAAATCGTTACAAATTATATTTTTAATGTTATTAATAACCGTTAGACCCATACTTGTAAAAAATTGTTTGTGATAGATATTTTCTAAGCATTGGTCCCATGGGTTAGAAAATTCAATCATTTTGTGATAGTTTTAAATTTCTAATAAATGTACCCTTGTACAACTTATTTCACATTTTTTTTGACAGTTTTAAACCACTAAAAAATAGTTTTTTCACTACTAGAATTTCTCATATTACATGCGAATTTTCCTGCGAATTTTTCATAAAAAATTTGCAGGAAACGTTGTTCCTGCAAATTTTTCTGCGAAATTTTATTTGCAGGTAATACCTTCGTGGATAATATATTTTTGCGAATTTTAAAATTCGCAGGAAATTTTCTTGCGAAAAAAAATTGCAAGAAAGTTTCCTGCAAAAAAAAATTTGCAGGAAATTTTCCTGCAAAAAAAATTCGCAGGAAAATTCGCAAGAAACTTTCCTGCGAATTTTTTCGCAAGAAATTCTGCAGGAATATTTTTTTAAAAAAAATTAAAAAAAATTATTATAAATTCTATATTTTAAGAATTCATAATCTTTTATTTTCATGCCTCATACATAATCTTTTAATTTCTAAGATTGTAGATTACAAGCCTAACACTCAACTATACAATTCAACTTGTAAGGTAAGTGTTATTCCCACTTATATACTCTTTAATTGTTTTATTTTCAATCGATGTGGGACTTGAAGATTTTTTAAAATATACAACTTATTAATTTAAATATTTTTTTTTT